GTCCTGGAATCAATCCCCTGTAGGTACTGAGTGACGACTTCATTTTTGGGGGAGTCAGAAGTTATAAATGGATTTTCAATTGTGTAGGGGTCAGCGTCCCTAACCCCATGTTATTCAAGGGTCAACTGTACTCAGTCTTGCATATTAGTCAAAGCTTACATACTGCCTTTGACTCTCTAATTTTCAGGTAGTGCCTCATTGCCCAAAGCCATAAGGGTAGTGACAATAGAAAGTACAGTGGAAGATGGAGACTATAAATATGTGAATTTGGCTTCAAAGTCCGTCTGTATTATATTGCTTGTTTTAGTTTTAAAACCCAAGTCTTCACAGCATGATAGTCCACATCAGAGACTGAGAGGGAAGAAGCAAATGTTTATTCCATTCCTCTTCTAATTGACTGGCACTGATAAAAGGGGATGAGGAATCAGCAAGACTTTGTTGGTATGCTGTTTCTTGGTCACCAGCTATTGGTCCCATTGCTAATAGATGGTTTTATCAGTGTAAATTTGCTTTCGTAGTGCCTGATCCAAAGGCAGTGGGCACTGGAAATTACATACACACACACAAATTCACATGGGACTTATATGTCATATCAAGGTTGCTTCTAGAGCTGAAGAGTAGTCAGCCACTCATTGAATTTCAGGATTTTTTTATTCTGAAATTCCCAAGAAGCATACTTTCCACTCCTGTGCTAGAGTAGCACTAGGTGACTGTGCCAGCATTCAGAAGGCAGTGGAACCTGACAGTCTTTCTTTCTTTCTTTTTTATGTTAGCTTGTGAGATGTGTAGCACAAGATGACAAGCTCATTTATAACCGTTTTTTCCTGCCAGGTCACTTTGCCAAGAGATCTTATTATGGATTCTGGAGAAGCTGGAGAGGAAGAAGGCAATTGCCAGCCTGAAAGGATTTGCAGGGTTGGACAAATCTGTACCTTCCCTCCATTCTCTGTGTCAGTTTAGAGCTGCCACTCAAGGTGGCATTATGATTACCATCAAAGAAGCCATTTGGTGAGTCCGCCCATCATTTACTGTCTTTCTTCAAATTTGATTGTATCCAAAAGGCCATTCTGTGACTCGTCCACTAAGGGGCGCTAGTAGAAAGGAAACCAGAAATTCAAGAGCTGAGGTGCTGCTGTTTATAATCTCTAAATGAAATGTCAGCCTTAAGTAATCCTCCAGGTTTTTCCTAGATGCTAGCTAATAGTAGGTGCAGTTTACTGGAGCCTCACAGCTCTGCATCACACCAAGCCTACGTTGTTCTCCAAGTCTTTGCTAGTGAATTAAATGGCAGACACATGGTCACCCTCAACACCAATGCCATTTCTGACTCTCAAAATTGTATATGTGTGTTTAGAGTCAGACTTATTCCTAACGGAAATTGCCTATCTTTTATGGCAATTTTATGATGGGGGTTTGTTTCTCCTAGGGATTGATTAGAAGTTGCTTAATAAATGCTAGTGAAATGGTTAATTTATTTTTCCATCTCACAAGTGTATTTTAAATTATTTCCATTTTCTGGGTAATATGTGTAGATGTTATTACGTTGGGATATAAGTTCTTGTTGATCAGAGTTCATATAGTATTTAACTGGTGGCAGCTACCCTATTTAGATTTCATCTCACATTCAAAATGCTGCTATTTGTTAAAGTGTTTAAATTTAATATTTTTATTCATGGTTAACTTTAAAGTTTTAGAACACTCTTTCAATATGATGGACTTGAGGAAAATAGGAAAAAAACACACTGATTGCAAACAGAATTATTAGTACAAACTCAGTCAATTTACTGAGAGCTGTTGAACATCAGTAGGCTTTGTGGTTATAACTATGGCTCTGAATTTAAAAAGCTTAAAAAATTTTTGTCATGTTTATTTAAAAAATCCTTTGGAACAGTTAACCTGGGACTGATTTAGTGACTAGAGAGTTTTATAGTTTCTCTTCATGGTAGGAAAACAGTGAGTGAGTGAATCTCCATCCACTGCCAAGTCCTTAGACTGGGGTCTCTACATGGGTTTTTAGGAGTCTATACTCCNACAAAAGATGTTGGTAAGGAAGGGTGGCTCCATAAGGATTACCTCTGGGAACACAGAATCCAGAGCCAAATAATAGGCCCTTATGTTATCTGGGAGAATCTCTTTTTTACCCCCTGTAATTGGTGATATATAATTAGGCCTGCATATTACTTCTGAACACTGCCATACAATGCACTTCATTTAGCTGGGCTTATGGAGATTAGATCATGTACAGGAAGCTTGCTCCTTGGTTACTGAATTCCACAGAGGAGTTGGGAGGCTTAAGGAGTGTGAACACTTAGGGTTGATTTAAAGGGACAGGGTTCTTTGGAAAAGTAGAGATTTTTCCAGCTTATGCCTCCACGGCCTTTAGTTTTCCATAAATAGCATTGATTCGTACGTCAGTACTTTCTGTAAATAAGGGCCTCTTTAAGCTTCCCTTCCCTCATCCTTTAAAACAGGGCTGCGAATACTGACTTTGTGAGATAGTTATAATTTCAATGAGCTAACTCTATAAAGAATCAGCCATTGCCCCTAGAAGATAAAAATCCATAGTTCCTGGAACACATACTAAGAGTGTAATTATTGTCAGTTCCTCTTCCTTCTCCTTTTATCATCATTATCACTGTCCACACGATCAGGCTTTAATTTATTCTAACAGAATTACATTTTGAGATCCTGTCATGTTTGACTGGAGTTTTGAATAGCATTTTGCACTTCTTAAGGTATTTTAAGTTATCCACCTTGAATTATTGTTATTATAATTGGTTTACTTGTTTTATTCTTCCTGTTAAATCACAAGTAATCTGAGAGATGACTCTTATTCGTGTTTGTATTTACTATAGCACCTAGGACAATACTTTGATCCCAGTGGGCATTCAAAAAAAGTTTGTTGAATGCTTTTTAAAAGTTACAGATAAAATATGTATCATAATTATTGTTAATAAAAATTAACATCCTCACACTTTTAACCCTATAAAGCCAGTGCAGATCTAGGTACACTGCATAACTTATCTGAACATTTATTGATTTAGAGAGAACAGGGCATGCCATTGTGGTAGTTACACCTTAAGAGTGACAAATCTAGAGCAAGCTTTGTGTGTTTTTTTTTCTTAGATCTAGTTTTAAATTTTTATGTGGCATTAATTGCTTGTTAGTTCCTGAGCATAGGGCCTTCAGCAGTAAGAGAATTATTGTACAGATGAATAATATGCATATTAGAAGATTCAGAGGTAGTCAAAAGTAGGGAAATAAGGTGTCAAAAAGGGATTAGTTTACCCATTTCGCCCAGCAGTTCTTCAGGCTGCACACACAGAGGGCTGCAGTCCAGTTTACCTCCTATGTTTCTGCCTGTCAATCTCAAGTGGCTTCATTAGCCTTAGAGCTAAAGTTGTTCGCCTTAGAGCTAG